TTTGTGTGTGTATATATATATATATATATATATATATATATATATATATATATATGCTACTTTACTACTTTATTGCTTTTATAAAACGGTTACCACACATTTTTCGCGGAGTGCCTGCAACCCCTTCAGATTTAAACCTACACGCCTACACGGTTACAGCACGGCCTCGAGAACCTTATTGCTTTTATAAAACGGTTACCACACAATAAAAAATATTAAAACCAAAAATGTATGTATTGATTGTAATAATATTAAAAGTAGAAAAATGAGAAAATGGCTCCTTTTTCAGCTTAAATTTTCATTTTTCGTTCATGGGTGGAAAAATGAATAAACAGCTTGAATATTCGATTTCTACATGTGGGCGGGAATTAAACGCCCCTTTCTGCTGATTGGTCAGCCGAAGAGCAAACCGTGCCGTCATCAGTTCTTCTGCAGTATCACGCAGCAGAATAATAGTCCTCCACTGCTGCAGTTGTATGGATTAATAACCCATTTTATCGCAACTACATTTCATATTTCTCTCATCAAACAGACTAATGAATAGCTCGACACAACTCATACCAGGGCAGAGTCTAGACAGGGCTTTCTTCTGTGTAGACCAGCGGTTCTTAAAGTGATAGGGGGTCCGCAAAATAATTAGCTATAGCCTAAAGTATTTCCAGACTGTAAAGTAGCTTTTTTTATCATGATACATAGGCCTACTGTGATTTATTCCAAAGTGACTTATATGATGCAATTAACGTCAAATAATCTAAACGAAGCGTTTTAAAAGACAAGTATTCGCTGTGGTTGATGTTTGTGGCATGCGCCAGATGCTCAAGGGCACCGAGAAGCTCTAAAGCAGCGCATTCTGTTGTTCTCTTTATTTTTCAAAGGCATGACATTTGTACTCAGCGGGTGTTGCAGTGCTTCAGTCCAAAAGACGTGAAATAAAAAGCACCTTTCCATAAAAAAAAATGGTCTCACACGGCTCCAGGGGGTGAACAAAGGCCTCCTGTAGCGAATCAATGTGTTTTTAAAAGAAAAATATCCATATTCAAAACATAATAATCACTTGAATCTAGGTTGCGCTCACTGTTGTAAAACGGAAGCAGTTCCGGGGTAATTACGTATGAGGTCAGCTTTACGCATGCACCGCTCAGAAGTGAGGCACACGGAGAGATCGAAACAAAACAACGGTCACTAATTAGAAGTACAAAACGAGGATTTGTAAAGAAGAATGTCGGAGGATTTCGATATAAGCCAAGAGGAGACTTGTTTTCCTTTGCTAAAGTAAGGAAACTTTGCTTCTTTTGATCCTGTAAACAAACGTTGGTTTTCACGAGACTCACCGGCGAATGCGCAACTCTGAACTCATACGTCATGCTCCCGGAACTGCTTCTATGTACAACTGCTGGCGCAAGCTAGATTAAAGTGATTATTACGTATTGAATATGGATATTTTTCTTACAAAAATGCATCGATTCAGTACAGGAGGCCTTTGTTCACCCCCCCGAGCCGTGTGAGATACTTTTTTTTGGAAAGGAGCTTTTTATTTCACGTCTTTTGGACTGAAGCAATGCAACACCCGCTGAGTGCAATGATAGAGCTTGAAAGATCAAATACAATTTTTAATATAACTCCGACTGGATTCGTCTGAAAGAAGAAAGTCATATACATGTAGGATGCATCGGGCGGGGGGTGAGTAAAACGCAACCTAATTTTCATTTTGGGGTGAACTAACCCTTTAATGTTGTTCTAAAGGCTTATTACTTAATAACACAAAAATGTCCTGCTGGCACTTGCCAATTTAATGGCAGAGAATGGTGACTTTAGTTGTTTTTTTTAAGTGGATGCATATCTGTCGTAAAAAAAATCCTATGCATCTCGTGGCATATATTCCAAGCATTCTGAAGGTATACTGAGGGTTTGGTGAGAAACAAACCGAAATGGCAAGTTATTATATTTTATGAAAATCTTGTGTTGCAGTGCAAGTGCACAGCAGCTCACGCCGTGCACAAGTGCATATCCTTTTGAGATATCAATTATAATCAATTTTAATAAAACACAAGACTACATTATATAACTCTAACAATAGGCTATTTAATATCTGTTGTTCTCCGGTTGTCAGTCAGAATGACAGTTCTTGCGTGAACATAGGCCTATATATACCCAAGCCAATTTATTATTCTTTCCTTTTTGTCT